GAAGTACTAGTGAAGTAGGAGAGCCCCCCACCTCCCAACATGTTAGTATAATTTAATTTAGATATCAAAGAAATATACTCATTTTCTTAAATGTAAACATGGAAGGCAGGCATTTTGAAAATCTCTAATATTTTAATATTTTCATACTTTACTAGTACTTTTCTTTATATTTGAAATATGCTATTGAATGTTTATTATTCTTTCCTTTTGTTGCTGCAACAATTTCCCTAGGTGGTATCAATAATGTTGAATCGAATCGAATCTAGTCTAATCTACCATATTTTCTATACTATAAGACTATAAGTTGCACCAGCCAAAAAAAATGGATAATAAAGAAAAAAAAACACCAATGCCATCTAGTGACTGTCAGTGTGAAATTATCAAATGTAAATTTTCAATGGTACAGGAGTAGCAGATACTGGTACACAAGCCTAGATTGCCCTCTGGTGGCTGTCAGTGTTAAAATAACAAACATGTGAAATTATGTATTTTTATATATTAGTTGCACCTGAGTATAAGTCGCACACCCAGACAAAGTATGTAAAAAAGTGTCACTTATAGGCCCGAAAATTTGCTCATCTAATCTAGTCTAATCTAACCTTAAAAAGAATTACACCTTCACATGGTAAAATAATTATTCTAAAACTCTTCTATGTAAAATATATAACCTCATACAGTAGACCCCCAAGATACGAGTTTTATCCATTCCACAACAGTACTTGTGTCTTGATTGAATTTTCCCCATTAACATTAACTAAAAACCAATTAATTTGCCCCCACACTCCAGAAATATACTATTTATTAATTAAATAAAATCCCTCCCAAATTGTCGAGCCAGGATTTGTGTAATTGACTGCTCATTATTGTAGTGTGGGTAATTTCAGCAGTGATATGAAAAGATCAGTAGCTTCAAAGAAGCCTGTTTGTCTCTGGTCATTCCTTCCGCTCACTCTCGCTCCTCTCTCTGTCCATCTGTCTTTAAACCATAAATTTCCCTCTTCCGTTCATTTATTTGGAGACCAATAAATCCCTTGCTGTTTGCCGTCACTCAGAAGGCGGCTGACAGTTGTGATTATGCATACACATGAACGCTGACACACACAGGAGGAATTTCAAGGTCAAGAGAATAAAAGTCGCCTGGCATTCAGCAGAGTCTGCTCTGAGGCTTGCAGAAAATGCTTGCTGACCCAGCCTGGAGGACATTGCCAACTCCCGCTACCTC